AATATATCCTAAGAAGCCCAAAACACAAATTCAAAAGAATATATGCATCCCTATGTTGATAGCAGTGTTATTTACAATAGCAAAGATCTGGAAACGACCCAAATGTTCATCAGTAGATGAGTGGATAAAAAAAGCTGTGGTATATTTATGCAATGGAATACTGGTTGCTATAAAAAAGAAGGAAATATTACCTTCTGTGACAGCATCATAGACTGGGAGACTATTATGCCAAGTAAAATAAGCCAATCGGAGAAAAACAAATTCCATATGATCTCATTCATACGTGGAATTCAATGAAGAAAATAAACAGAAACAAAATAGAAACAGAGGTATGGATGCATGGAACAGACAGCTGTGAGAGGGGAAGGGGGAGACTGGATGAAAGAAGGTGAAGGGATGAGCCAAAGAACATAACATGTACGCATAATTCATAGATACAGACAGCAGTGTGGTGACAGCCAGAGGAAAGGGGGAGATGGTTGATGACTTGAGGTGGGCAAAGTTTTAGGGGGGAATGGGGACATCCATATTAGAGTTAAAAAAATAAAAAGAAAAAAATAAATTTTTGCTATTTGTAACAACATGAAGGGGCTTAGAGATCCATATGATTTCATTTATATATGGACTCAAAAAAATACAAATGAACAAAAAAAAACAAAAAACAAAATAGAAAGAGACTCAAATACAGAGAACAAACTGATGGTTGCCAGAGGGGAAAGGAAGGAGAAATGAGTGGAAAAGGTGAAAGGGAATAAGAGCTACAAACTTTCATTATAAAATAAATATGTTATGGGGATGTAATGTACAGCCTAAGGAATATAGTCATTAATATTGTAATAACTGCACAGCTCACACCTTGAAAGGTTTTTAGTGTGATATTAAATAACATAACATTTACTATTTTAACCATCTTTAAGTACATAATTCAGTGACATTAAATAATTCACAAGGTTGTGTAAGTATCACCACCATCTATTTCCAGAACTTTCTCATGAATCCAAGCATTCTGTACCCATTAAACAATAACTCCCCATTATCCTCTCCTCCAGCCCCTGGTAACCACTTCCTATATGAATTTGCCTAATTTTTGTACCTCGTATTCACTTAGTCTCCAAGGTCCATTCATGTTGTACCATGCATTAGAATTCCATTCTTTTTCATGGCCGAATAATAGTTGACTTTGTTTGTTAACTGATTTGTCCAACAAATATTTATTAGGCATTTTGTTAAGGGCTAACCACTGTTCTAGGCATTACTGAGATAGAAATGAGCAAAATCATACAAATAAATAAGTGAATATATTGTACATCATATGACAATAAATGCTATGAAAAACCAATATTGGAGAGATAGTAGTAGAGGAAAAGGAGGTCTTAGAGGTAGGGTGGAACCATTCAATAGTGCCTTGACTATTAATGTAAGGACTTTGGATTTTGCTCTGGAATAAAAAACCAACAGGAAATTTGAAGTTGCAGAGTGACAACATCTGACCTACAGTTTGAAAGATAACTCTGTCTTCAGTACTGAGACTACATTACAAGAGGGAATAAGGCAAAGAAGAAGAAGAAATACCAGTTATGGGGCTATTCCAATAGTCCAGATGAAAGATGATACAACCCATATTAGCGTATATTAGTCAAGGTTCTCTAGAAAACTAGAATCAATAAGATATAGGTGTAGGCTGGCAAGTCTAAAATCTGTAGAGCAAGATAGCATATTAAAAACTCATTTGGGGTTTCTATGTTTCTTGTGACCAGATACCTTCTGAGGGAGACTATTCCATCCCTCTTCCTGGCTTTGGTGTTACTGGCAATCTTTGGCGTCCCTTAGCCTGTAGATGCATCACTCTGATCTCTGCCTTCATCTTCACATGGCATTCTTCCTGTGTACATGTATGTGTTTAAATTTCCTCTTTTTATAAGAACACCAGTCAGACAAGATTAGGGCCCACCTTATCCCGTAAAAGATGTTTCCTTTATGAAATGGTACCATTTAGGGGTAAATAAAAACTTTCAATTTGCCTTTCAAGGAGTGAGACTTTGTTTATATTGACTTGGGGTATTGTAATTTTTCTCCTCTGCATGGTTCAGTTGCTAATGTGATTGACATGAGAAGTGGATATTCCATCAGAATAAAGTATTCCCTAAATCACATAATCTCTAAGAAGCAGTGCTTTAAGGGACACAGATTCTGAGATGATTTCATTTTGTGGCTAATACCCTTGAAACTCTCAGACCGTTGTCTAGAATCTAAAGGCCTAAAAGAATGAGGACTTCCTGGAGTGATCAGCACTGCCAGCAGCTGAAGGTCTTCCCTCAGATAAGTTTGCTCAGATCGCATTTTGTGGCTACATTGATACTGCGTAGTTCTACCCTTGCCAGAAAGGCCAAAGGAAGTAAGTGGATTTTAGCAACCCTCCATATATCATGCTTCTCACTCCCACTAATCAGAGCCAGAACTGGGGAAAGATTGCTGATCCGGAGGGAAAGGACCGATCGAGGGAAGGGTAAAAGGAGAATGTTTCCAGAAGATCAAAGGAGCTCCGGCTTTGTGTTTCTGGGACTGAGCCTGGGACTTTAATTCTGCCTGAACATTTCCTCTGTTTCCCTCAGAAGCGTCTCTGTCTTGAAGCACAGGACCGAAGCAAAATGCCTAATGAAGCATGACCGGGAAAGGGGAGCACAAATATCTTGGAAAGAAGGGCTGAGGCCAGAAGAGAAGAGAGAAGAGTCAGATTACAGGTTCACACATTCTTACAAAACCATTTGGAAACAGAGCTGAAGACGCAAATTCTGGGACCTACGAAAGGCCCGTGAAGGTTTCAGAGTGTGCCTGCTCACTTTAAGCCTGTTCTGCTTTGTTCAGTCCCTTTCCTAAAGGCTGGTTGGGCTAAACTGGGTGGGCTTAGCCCAGCTCTGAGTCGCCGGGCACAGAGTCAGTTTTCTCTTAACTCCCTTAGCATAGAGTCGGGGGCCCCAATTCCCACGTCGCTGGGGTTCCTGAGGCCAGTGACACTGCGCTCGAGGCACACACGACCACCTCCTCTGGCCCGCTCGGCAAGTGTGCACCAGGTTAGCCTTGACCTGCCCAGGTCTAGCCTCTCTTGGCGTGGGCAGAGCCCCCACCCCAAACCCCAATCAGGGCAGTACGTCCCTTGTCTTCCTCGGCGAGAAGAACGCTGGCCACCAAGGCGTGCTCTGAGAGGTTTTCAAGTCGCTCACTTCCCCCCTCAAGTGAGCTATTGGCGGTTCTCCAGAAGCCTCCTGAGGTCCCAGCTCCAAGCGCTAAAATAAACGTCCAGCTCCAGAAAGTGGGAGAGGGGACGAAAAGAATGAAAATACTAGGAGAAGGACCTCATTCTCCAGGAAGAAGTGATGAGGAGAAATGAAATTGTGAACTTACTCGGAAATGCAAACCGAGATCCAATCTGTCCCCAGGCGCATACAAACGAACGAAAGACAAATTAGCCAGCGCGCTCGGCAGCTTCCCAAAAAGGACCTCATGAATGAGAATGGGTTGCTAGGTTTCCTCCCGCCCTCTTGACAATCGCTTCCCACGTACTTTCACCACGGAAAGAAAACACGGGGACCTGGCGACTGCAGACCAGTGGGACCGCGCCTAGCCCACCAGACCTCCCGCGGCCTCTCCGTGTTCAGGACCCTGGAGAGCGGTCGCCGCGCCCCCTCCGACCCACGCCACGCCACGCCACGCGCGCCTCGCCCCCTCGCATGCCCCGCCATCCTGTCACTTTTTTTCGCTGCTTCCCGCCTCCACCTTCATTTTTCTTGGCAACGGCCACTCCTGCTTTTCACAATCAGATTAAAATGTCTTTTTTGTTTTGCTTGAGGGAGTTGTTTGGATTGGCTGAGTTATATTCCGGTTTGAAACTTCATTAAATGTTAGTGGACCAAGGAACTCTGAGAGCTTCTCAAAAATGAGAGCCTGAAAAAGGCAGGCGACCTTTAAAAGGCCCCTGAGTTCAGTCCTTTGCTTTATAAATGAACCAGATAATCTCAAAAAGTAAAGAGATTTTCCCAAGGTTAGCTGTCAAATTAGTTTCAAGTCTGAGTTTAGGACCCTGGACTTCTAATTTCTAAATTAATGCTTTCCTCTACTTTCCAAGAAAAAGAAAAGTAAGGATTTTACCTTCACCCTGGCCGCTTAGGTCTCCTAAACAACGAGTGGAAGGTGGAAAGGCTTATGATCCTAAGAATAAGACGGACACAGGGAGTGTGGAAAAAGGGCCTGCAGCGTGTGCACTCAAGAGCCCCAACACAGGTCTGATCTTCCATCTCACCTACCCCAACCAGCACAACCAAAGTCAGTTCAGCCAGGTCGGTTCTCCCCGCAGCCTGAGGTGAGTCTGGGATCCCTCAGTCTTCTCCCACCACCTAAGTCTCCCAGGCAGCTATCCGAATGGAAACTGGTAACCAAGTCCATCTTCTGTGCTTCCGGCAGGCAGAGCTCTAGGCACTTTGGGAGGTAGTAAAAGAGAGAGGGGATGAGAGACAGGAGAGGAAGAACAAGAGCTGCAAAAGTGTACTGGGAGATTTTCATACAAATTCTAAAGAATCGACAATTGTGCACACAGACCCTTCTATACACTGCGCATCACATTTTTACCGTGCATACGAATCCCCTGAGAATGCTAACATTCAGATTCTGATGCAGTAGGTCTGGTAGGGTCCACGATTCTGCATTTCTAGCAACTCCTAGTTAGCAAAGCTTCTGCTCCAGGGACCGCATTTTGAATAGCATGGAGTTAGAAAGAGGGGAAGAGAGAGAAAAGAAGAGGGAAGAAAGGGGAAGAAAGAGGGAAAGGAAAGTTAGGAGCAGAGAATCTAACCAAAGTCCTTTCCTTTTGCTTTCACCGACCTTCTCTTGCATCCTCAAAGTAATGCTGTAGTAAATGGCACTAAGTGCACATTTTCTTCATCAGTAATAGTATGCTGGTTTTGTTTCTTTCCTTCCCCAACTTCTTGCCCTTCCCCTCGCTCGCTCTTCACAGATCCCAGATACACCCGCTGCCCTGAAGCTGCTCAGCCTCCTTTCTAGCACACTCTCCGGCATCGCGCAGTTCTTCGCTCACCTCCTCCGGAGACCCCCACCTGAGACTCCCCAGCGGAGCCTGGACTTCTCCCCCTGGCTTCCCGCCCTGCAAGGGGCTGGGCTCTCTGGCGGAAGCGAGGAGAGGCCAGGCCGCCTTTCGCTCCTGCTCCGGGCAGCTCTGACACTGCCTGGCCGACGCCCAGGAGAACGCCGGCCCCGGGAAGAGGACGCCAGCGCTGGGCAGCGCTCGTTCATGCCCGTGAGTACTGTTCTCTCCACCGTGCCCGACTCTGGCCTCACCCGGGTGCCTGCATCCCTAGCTCCTTCCTAACCTCGACTGAGCCACTCCACGAGGAACCCAACAGGGGCTCCGGCCAGCAAGGAAAGGTGGGAAGGTAGAGACAGGGTTGAGCATGTTCAAAGAAGAGGCGCTGGCGACTCTCTTGACACCCCTCCCCTCAGGAAATCCTTCAAGCTACTTTTTCCTGGGCCGTTTTCTTCCAGGGTCCAAGGAAGAGGGAGGAAACCCTCATCCTTCCTGAGGCTGCTTCTCAAACACTGGTTCTTAACGCGTCGCTCTCCCCCCCCTCCTTCCAACCTTCCAGAGGCACCTCTGACCCCTCCTCTGCCCCCTAGGGGTCTGCCGGCTAGAGAGGCCGGGGAGGAAATGACGTGATGTTATTTTTGTGTCAATTCAGCTTCGAACTTTAGGTTAGCCCTCCGAGCTCAGGCGCACGGCCCGGGAGGTCCAACTACGTCTCACTCCCGCGGGCACCCTGGGGACTACAGGGACACTCGGCGATCCGATCTGTGCGCACAGACCTGGCGGCAAAGTTCCTCCTCCGCTCTCCAGGCCCTTCTCCTTATCCCCGACTCCGGTGTCCCCTGGGGACAGAGGGCGGCTGCCTAGGGCCTCAGCAGGATCCGGAGTTTGTAGTTAAACTTTGCCGCCCGTCCCCCATCCCAAACGAGGTGGAGCCTTTGGCTCCTGCTGGCCTGGAGTGGGCGAGAATCCACCTTCCCGGTGCGGGTGGGACTACCGGAGAAGGCGGAACCCGGGTGAGGTAGGGGCGTAGCTCCAAGAAGCACCCTGGGGAAAGGGAGAAGGTAGGGGGCTGCCCTCTCGAGGCAAGGCAGTCCACAGCAAGAATCTCCAGGGACTGAGCAACCCCTCCATGCGTGCCGTGCCCACAACACACGCACCTCCCTCTGCCCCCTCCATCCACACGGTCTGAGAACGCATTCCCGCACTTTGGAGTCTTTCTGGGCCCCCGAGGGCGGAAGCGTGAATAAAGCAGAGGAGGACTCTGCAAACACCCTCAGCGCTTGCCTTGCTTCGCGCCCACAATCTTTAGCCTGACTTCCTAATTACCGGCTAAAGGAGGGAGGCTACGATTCGGGCGCAGATTGGTGCCCGCGTGGGGCCTCGGGTGACCCACCGCAGCGGAGCGCGCGCCCGCCAGAGGGAGGTGAGACCTGGGATTGCCAGGCTGGGGAAGGAGGAGAGGGAGGAGGCAGAGCATAGGAAGTGAGGGGAAGGGAGAAAAGACCGAGAGGAAAGACTCAGAGCCATAGGAAGAGGAAAACTGGACAGAGCAATTGCGGACGTAGAAAGTACATCACTTGGTATTAAAATTTATAAAAATAAATAAAAATAAATAAAGCAAGCAGGCACACACGGGACGCATGCGCACGGCCGACCGTGGCTCGCCAGCAAGAGGTTCCCCTCGGGCTCTCCTGGCAAACGATGGAATCGTGAGTACCCTGCTTCCTAACCCTCTCTTCCTCTCGGATTCTCTCTAAGACCTCGGACTGGGGAGTGGCCCTGGCCAAGTCTGGCGCACGGGCTGGGTAAAACCTGGCACGCTCATCATCGCCGCAGCGGCGGGAGCGCGTGCGGGTCAGTCGCCTACTCCATGAGTCCAGCCTGGTACAATGGTCAATTTTGGAGGTGTGACTGTGTCTCAAGAGGGCGGGGGGGACGCGGGCCGGAGAAGGTCTACCCACCAGAATCAGTTTCTGTCCTGTCCACCAGGGCGTCAGCATGCTTCAACCTCTATGGCCTGGGGTCAGTGAGTGGGTAGGGGACTGGGGAGCCCAGCCCTTAAAACCTAAAATGCATATTGACCCTCGCAGTGTATCTGGGAAAACGAGGCGGGTGGGAACGTGGTAATTCCCACCGGATATCAAGAAGGACAAGGAAGGGGCCGGTCGCTGAGGAGGGCAGGTGGAAAGGCAGCAAAGACATTCCCTGAATCGCAGAACCTCCCTTTAGGGGAAGCCCAACTCAGGACAAGGACCCGAGGAGCATGGCCAGGACCCGGGGGATCTTGATTCGGTATCGCCATTTACGCTCTGGAACCCGCGCCTAGGCGTGTTAGGAGCGGGCGTCGCGGGTATTTTTCTTAAACAAACCTGAGTAATTTACTCTTCCTCACAGTCGGAGTTGCTCTCAGGAAGTTGTAAGGAGTCTGGGCGACCAGACTGAGGAAAATGGAAGGGGAAGTGGGTGGGCGAGGGACTTAAGGAGAGGCGGCGCTCAAGGAGGGAAGTGGACTTCTGCGGTGGGTGTGCGCGGCGGCTGCCGCTGCCGGGGTTGCAGAGTAACGGACCTGAAAGAAGCCTGGGGAGGGGCAGCGCGCCGGGAGGGGTGGGCGTTTGCGGCGGAACTTCTGTGGGCCAGCCGCCCTTGCGCGCTCCGGGAAGTGGGTGGAAAGGAGTGGGCTTTGAGGAATCTATGTTCTCTGAGACCTGCCCATCCCGCCTCTGGAGGAGTGGGCAGAGGAAAGGCCTCGCGAGAGGAGGCGCGCAGGGACTTGCATGCAAGGTGGCGAGCCTCCAGGAATTGCCAGCGTCCGAGGAAAACCCAGGCGAGTAGCCAGGGCCCTGGAGCAACCCCAGCGGCTGGCGGGACTCGGCCCAAAAAGTGCTGGCAGCTAGGAGAGTGGGCGCTGACTGAGATCCCAGGGTGCTGCTGCCGCATCCGCGCCACCTGTGGCAGATAGGGTGGGGGAGTGACCGCGATTGCAGTTTCTACTGGGGAGGAGGAGAGCGCTAGAGGGGAAATATCTGCCCACATCCCTTGCTCCTCAGAATCCGGCAGAGGCCAATTGCTCTTTGTCCTCCCCCACCGTAGCCGCTGCGTTGGGCGCGGGGGGACCGCTTCTCGCCCTCTGGTTAATAGAAGCAGCCACTTGCCCACGGGGTCTTCTCATTGCCCTGGGAGTGTGGGGAGCAGGGAGCTCCTGCACCACTCTCCAGTCATCCTCCTTGGGTCAGCCCTTCTCTGCGGTACAGGTCATAGGGCCTTCATTTCACTTCTAATGGTTCCAGATTGTGGAATCAATTAACTATGTAAGGGTCCGAGTTGACAAAACGATCTGACTTCCTCTCCAGACTTGACAAGGACATTGTAATAAAATAACTCTATCTGTAAATTCTTTTTTTGTTCATAACCTAATTTTCTACTGGGCTTCATCCTATTTATCTTCTGTTCATTAAGTGGCATCTTTTGTATCACGTATCAGCAACTCATACGAGAGACAGTATTGTCTAATGGGTAAGAGTCCTGGACTCTAATTGTCTGGTTTCAAATCCCAGTCTAACTGTATGACCTTGGGCAAGTTACTTAACTTCTCGGTGCCTTAATTTTATCATCCGCAAGTTGGGGGTAAGAAAAGTACCTACCTCGTAGAGTAGCTGCCAAGATTCAGTAAATTAATATAGTATAGCTCTGGTACAAACCAAGCAAAAGCTGTTGTTACTATTATTATATTGATCTAAATCAGCCTAGTAAACTTCAAAATATAAAAAGATAAGGGAAAAGTGCAAATTTTGTGTGCTATAAAGCGTGTACATAATGAAATAGAAGATGTTCTTCATGAATATTAGAAAAACAGTAAATATCTTCTATGTCAGGATATAAATTTAAATGCAGGACTCATGGACATGGACAACAGTGTGGTGACTGTGGGGGGGAGGGTGTAAGGAGACTAAATGGTAATGAAAGATACAATAAAAATTATTTTTAAAAAATTTAATTACAATGCATTGCTACCTCTTCTGGACCCTTTTATTTCAAATAATTATGAAATATTTGCATACAAGCTTTAAACATCATTTTAAGAAAATTAGCTCTAACCTTCAACATATTTCACTTTGTAAAACAGATATGCATGAAAAATACACATTAGGTCATGGTATATACACAAAAAGTCTCCATTAAATAGTATATGGAGTCATGGTATATACAAAAAACAATGTCTGCATGAAATAGTGTATTAAGTTGGTTTTATTTAAGGGACTGTGGAAAGATAGCTTCGAAGCTAGAAACGCTAACATCTCTAAGATCATTTAAAACATTTTAGCGAAGATACCCTTAATGTCAAGAACACAGAATGGTTAAAGTCAGATTACTTATTCTACCTCCTTTACTTTATACAGGCGGGAACATTCAGAGAAGTTAAAGGCCCCCAGCCAGGGATCTCCAGCTAAATAGGGTTTGCAATAACTTTAGAATTAGGTCTTCTGAGTCACATCCCAGGGCTCTTCAACACCACAATGATAATTTCCTACAGATTTATGAACCTTTAACAAATAGGAGACCAGAGGTATTATATAGGGAAAAACATACAAACATGTGTTATCTTCAACACAAGAAAGACCAGGCAGTGATGTGGTTGGCTACTGTTGTCCCACAGCTTCATCAAGGTCCCTCACTGCAGAAGATAGGACTGCATGACTTGCCTCAGGTAAGGTAAGGCCACAGATCAAGATAGAGGCAGAGCCAGCATTAGAATATAAGGTCCTGCTGGAGTATACATTTGGCTGCATGTTCTATTAATCCCTTGTAGCAGTTTTACATTAGAAATCATTTTTGAGCTTTTCTTAAATTTTAAAAATCTCCTTCCTGATGGCTTTGAAGGTCTTTTTTGTATAAAAAAGCTTTTTAGGAAAGTCCTTCAAAATTACACAAAGATTTTATTCCAGATTTTGTAGACAAGTAAGAGTGAGAGAGAAAAAATACTTTCTTATTTTAGAGCAATAACCTGGCTACTGGCTCCATTTCAGGTGCTTGAATAATAGTGTCTATAATCCTACTGTTCTTTCATTTCTGCACGTGGCAGTGACATTCCCCCAACACAGACAGATGCAGCTGGTGGCTCAAAGGTCCAGCCCTCACACGAGCAGTTTAGAAATTATGTGGCAGAGCCTTTCAAGTGAGCAGTTGGCCTTGCGAAGTTATTTATAGGAATGGTG